ACTGAAAAAAGTTTTCATATAGTTTCTATTGGGAACGCACATGATATTTTTCCTATTACAAAATTAGTGATTTTTATCTGAAATTCACATAACATTCACATGATCACATGAATTCTATGTGATAAATCACATAAACATCATTGGACACATAAGGTTCATGTGATTTCGTGGTGCGATTCCCAATTATGAGATCACAAGAAAGTTATGTGAAATTCTAATGGATATTTTCCATCGGAAATGTGATTTATTTTTTGAATGTAGTAGCCTGGAATGTTGTCCTATTCTTCACGCCAAGTACACCAATGTTGCCTGCTGAGCAGTTGATGGAGCATATCAGAACAATATCATCGTCCTAATTAATAACTAACTACCCTGACTATCAATTAAAAAGTGGTGTGCAGCAAAGTTGTAGCTGAGAAAATTTTCCATAAGTAAGCAAGCTTACCATCAAATCATTGTGGTGAAAGGTTAGGACGAGATGACCAAAAATATCAGTTTTCCTATAGTAATTCTGTTGTAAAATTCAAAGAGCTAGTGAATTGCGAGTTCACATCCAAATGAGCTTTGCGAGAATCATATGGACCGGAACTGAAATCGATTGAGCTTGGAGGAGCAAAATCGAAATTTTGAACCACCCTAGTGGTCATAGGTAGTTTTCAACCATTTATTACTATGTGCCTATGCAAAAATGGATTTTTGCAAAAATCAACACGGCCTATTTATTCAACTATATCGGTAGGATCAACTGAGCGAGCTTCAGCGACGAGGCTTTTCGATTTGTCAAGAAGTTTCAAACACTTTATATGACGGCCTGGATTCGAAGATGGAAAATCCTAAAAATGCTAGAAACTGTACGACGCACAATATTTAAGACGATGGTCGTGATAAGTAAAGTAAGGTCATCTTAGCATATAAATAAAACACTAAATTCGCTGATGAGTTTTAAGAACTGCCACCCCTGCTCAAATGTTCGATTATGAGTGCAACACTGTCTTCCGTTTATAAGCAATGATTACTGTGTCTAATCTAACACTCGCTTCAACAGGGGGGTTATACTTATTAGTGTAGCGAAACAATGTGTGTTGGTAGTGGTTTAGTCGTTCAATGAGGATGATGTGCGATTTGTTTAGTCGTGAAATGCAATTCAATCTCAGATAACTGACTTGTTTCTCCTTGAGGAGCCGCAACCGCTGCAACAGTGGAAGCCCTGCGCCGATCGGACTTGGCACTTTGTCGGTATCTTTGCCCTCGTCCTCGGTGTGGATATCGTCCGACTTTACCCGGGCCATCCGGCGGAGTACGGTTTTGGGCGTTTTACTGCCACTTCCACCACTGCCTCCGCTGGCGTTGCCCTGCAACGGCTGCATCTCGATCGATTCGTTACTACGTCTAGTTGTTCCCGTTCTGTAATGGTAGATCCAGAGGAGTTAACTTTGATCCACAACGGGTGGCAGAACTTACCTTGACTTTCGCAGCGCGTTCTTCAATCCCTTAACATCACTTTTTAGCTTATCTACGATACGTTTTGAGGCACTATTATCACTACTATCACCTTGATTATTGTTGTTATTGTTGTTGTTGTTGTTGTTGTTGTTGTTGTTGTTGTGTACGTTTGAGCTATGTTCACTGCCGTGGTGGTGTTCCTTGGCGGCATGTTTGCTGGCGTGCTTCTTATTCACGCAGCGCACCTCCATCAGTCTTTTGCGTCCCAGCGTCTGGAGGATCTCTTGTGCTTCGGGATAATCCTTCATCGCCGTCAGGACGTCCTCGCGCGAGAGCGAGAACAACTCCGAGTAGCCCACCGAACGGACGTCGGCCGTTCGCCTGCAATGAAATCAATTACCACCAATTCCATCATCCCTTCCCACCATGATACTTACTTGTTCAACCCGTCCAGATTCAGTATTCCTATTTCACCGAAAAAATCACCCGCCTTCATCGTGGTCAGCACCTTACCCGTCTCGCTCAGCACCTCCAGGATGCCATCGGCAATGATGAACATCTCCCGAGCAACCTCGCCCTTCCGGCAGATTGAGTCCCCCGGCGTAAAAATGTAGGCCTTCATCTTGAGCACCAGATCGTGCAGAAACTCCGGCTGGCACTCTTGGAATATGGTAACCTTTTTGAGCACACTCAGGTTCACGTGCAACGCCAATTCGGTCTTGAGTTTGTCCGGCAGCAGACCGAGCGCTGTATTGATATCGCCGCCACCCTGTATCCGACCGCGGGACCAACTGTAGTCGTACCACCGCAGTACTCGACGCTTCATGCCACCGGGAACCTTTCAAAGAAAACCAAACACATCAGAAATGATCCCCTGAAACGAAACATCTAGGAAATGTGTACCTTATGGTGACGCATGTACGTTTTGGCACCGTCCAGCAGCCGTTCGAATTCGAGCCGGTTGGCGTTGCGATTGGTTATCACGTTGCCCACCTGACCGACGATGGTGGCAAAGATGAACACACCGATCAGATAGCTGACGATCGTGAAGACGTATCTGTTGGGAATGATTTTCCGGAGAAATAGTAGGTTGATTAGCATAAGTAAGGTGTCGTTTGCCATTTTCAGATGAACCCAAATCCGTAAATCAAAGTTTTCGAATATAATTGCGTTCCATGGTTGAGGTGATCAGAGTTTTTCAATCAGTAAGTTCATTTAGTTTGGATAACAAGGTTCGTTCAAGGCTGATCATACGTTGTGTCGGTCTACAATTGTGTGTTCAATTTGTTGTATTAAAGAGAAAACGATTACTCAGCTACCTGTGTAGCTGGTTACATTACTTTTTTGACGTAGGACTACGTCTGTGATTTCTATATAGGGGACACTTGGTGAAAACCGAAAATGGAACATGTAACAAAATCATGAAAGATTTTGAACGTTAATAACTTAGCTGCCCCTGGATCAATTTCAATCGTTTTGTCACGAATCGATCAGAAATATTTCTACGCATCTGATAAGTTAAAGACTTTAACATTTTATAAAATGTCACTATTGAAAATTTTACGAATGTGCAATTGTTGCTATGATAATTAAAATTATCACCGATTGAATCCGATCTCACCAAACGGTGTCAATCACCGCGTGGTGAGTGGTGGTGTTCTATTGATCGAAATCAGTAGCTCTTCGTGAGTCGCTGTGGGCTATCTATGTCAAGCGCGTCATACAAAAGAGTATAAACAGAGAGAACCTACTATTTCCTACACAAGCTTTTACTGCAGTTAACAAATAAGATTTATTATATAAGACATCGTAGTCCTACGTCACCATTGCGTACAACCCCATAGGGCTGTTCCTTGTAGTTTTAGAGGGCTTAATGTATGGTTTTAGAGCCGCTCGTTCTTTTCTCACACCAATCAATGTGAGTTGTATATTTTTGGGTATTGACGAAATTGTATATGGGTCATTCCGCGCCAAGTGTACACAGCACATGAAATTGACCTCTTCTGATTTGGACCAAATTTGTAGGGAATGTTCATTTAAGTTCAAATTTTAAAAATCCAAAGTTTTATGCTAATCGGAGCACCCCTCGGTCAAGGGGCGCATTTTTCATTTTTCGTGATTCTTTGGAAAGCACTACCTTCTTTTGTTCATATGTTTTAATAAGAAAATTAGACAAGGAATCTAAATCTGTAACTTTTGTTTCTGTACAGTGTTTCCAAATATTTTTTATTTTTGTTTGAAAACTTTAAATGCAGTTTTCTCATAATACGTGTCGTTTAATTTTTATTTTAAGGACACCATCGTGTTTTTCATTCTTTTTTACATAAGAAACACTTAACGACATTTGCATTTTGAATGAACAAAAGTCATAAATTATACTTTTTTTTTTTAATTTTTTCCATTTCCTCTTAATAAGTGGATTCATTCTCATGACTTATTGTGTGAAATAATATTTAAAGAAAAAAAAATCGATTACATTACCAAGAATAGTGTTGCCAAATTTAAATATTATTTAGCGATTAAAAACTTTAAACGTGATTTTTTTTTAAGTTGATGCATCTAAATATTTGGTTTGATTGCACCATCATGTCCCACACCATTTTTTACATAAGATAGACTATCTAAAACAAAGTTCCAAGCAGTGTAACATTTTGGGAAAAACAAATTAAAGAAAAGTGTTTTTTTTTATGCATTTTCTAAAGCAATGGAATTAATATCCAAACCTATTGTTTTAAAAGTTTTCAGAAGGTAACTGCACAACGGACCTAAATCTATATTTTTGGTACAAGAACGCCAAAATAACTAATTATGGTCAGCCATAAAATAAGACAAAAATGTAAAATATAGGACCAAACTGTGATTAATCATGTTTTGTTGTTTTTGACATCATTCACATCCAGAGTGCCAGTCACTTTCGAATGTATGGGAATGGTAGGAAACCATTTGGAAATGCATGAAAATTTTCAGTTTTTATTCATTATCGTCTTTATGGCCAGTTTTAGATGCACAAAAATTGCACGAGTACATTACTATGGTGATAAGGTAAACACTCGTTTATTTGTTTCCTTCTGTGAAAGCATGTTTAGTCACAAATCGTGGATTTTCTGATATTCTCCATACTGCTAAAAATGATTTTCCTACCATCTCTCGGATCTTCAGTATAGCTACTACTCAAATCATATAATTAATTTACTCATGTTTTGCATACGATCCAGAATTTCGAGATCAAATAGATGTCTTTGAAGATGTCATCTATTAACGTATAAAATCCGACATTTTAGATTTTTTTTTCATACATTAGGCGTCTATGTTTTAAGCATCTCTGGCGCATCTGTCTAGTTCATTCGAAATTTGCAGATACCGAGTGGAAAATGGGTAAGCCACTTTGCCACCTTGTGTTAAACACATCAAAAACACTCTTCGACACACTCAAACACCCTTCAACCACCATGGGAACCAATTTTTCAATCTTTTCTGGCAGCACGGCCATTCATTTGATGCCCTTTTTTGTTTTTGTTGATTTTTTTTCTGAAGGAGGGACCTCCAGATATCGGTAGGATTCCACAAAAAAAAAACTGATCGGGACACCGAAGTAGCCCTCACTCCCGCAATTAGGAATGAAGTTGATGTTGAATCTTCAACAATCGAATCAACATTGAAAAAACAGAAAATTTCAACCTCTAACAAGCTAGAATATCTGTAACTGTGTATGAATGAAGCGGATAATAATTAGCATGTCAATTATTGATCGATAGCTGAAGACAGATATTTCTTTCTGATGTGTTTGATGCCCTTTCGTCGTGGATTTCATATACACAATACCAAATCAAAGAGTTCCATCCTACTATCTGCCGCTTGCAAATAGGTTCGTTTTTTTTTTGTGAAATTTAGATCCAGAGATTGCTTAGAAAGGGACGTGCTCGGTTTGGTTATCTGGGCTTGATTGCGACTGGAATTCGGTTGGGATGGATTCGAGAGGACTTTACTGGTTTGAGCCAGGATGTCAAGCATCATGGCATGAGAATGCGACGGCTGAGGAAGTACTTTTTAAGATCGGAGTGGAACTCCAGGCCTACATACACATCACATTCTTTTAGATAGGTGTTGCGGATGACAATCAGGGATGAGAATTTGAATTTCTGTAAGTTGTTTACGTAGACGTGTGCATTATTTCTGTAATTCCGTGCTTTCACTGTGCATGATTAAATTGGTAAATTTTTGGAGAGCAAAAAAAAAGAATTCTGATTATAAACAAAAGTGGATGTAATGCTAGCCAGTAAGCATTAATTTTCAATAAACGTTTTGACAGCTACACACTCAGAAAAAAATCATGTAAATTTAGGTGCTCTGAGACTGACATATACGAGCGTCAATATTGACACAAAATTGAGTCATAATAGACGCGAAATTCAGCTCAATCAAACGTACTTTTGAACTTTTCAGTCTCGGAGCACTTAATTTTACATGACATGTTTGTTTACATCTCATCCTTTATGTCAAAGATGGATTCCGTCACGTGTAAAATTAGCTATTTCTAAGTGTGTAGGTCGACATGCAGAAACACCCATAAACACCTTCCGACACCCTAAAACACACAAGAAACACAATTAACCCCCTTAACGTGGGTAGATCACATTTTCGTGGTACGTTAAGGGGTGTAAGATCTGCCACCGATTCCTAGTCCTGACTATTTCAAACTAGGGGAACAGGATTTTTCAGTAATCAAAGGAACAAATCTTAGTCCTTGTTACTTTTTATGCCTTGTTGATCCACCGAGGATGATCTTGAAACAAGGAAAAAATGAGTTAGTTAGTCTTCATCTATGTGATTCCTAATCTTCTATTTGTTGTTGCCTAGTTTGAAGTGCTTAAGACTAGGTTTCTGATGCATGGAAAATAGATCAGATTACTGGTCGCAGTGGTGTTAGGTCCCGAACAGTGGAACACAATTACAAGCTTCGTTCTGGTGCTAAGGAACCAAAAGTGTTTGTGATGGTCATGCTAAGCAATATGGAGACCTGTATGCGACAATGCAACGACGGTGCTGCAACCCATTGAATCTGCATACAGTTATATTCGCCGCAAGAGTTTGAAACCAATTTCTGTACGGTTTCATGACGAGTACAATAAGAACTTTGCCAAAAATTATCGAAGGTCGGAAAGTATGCGTGCAATGTCATCTGGCGGTTAAAAAAACGCCGCGACCCAACATTGAGCAACAGCTGGAAGTTGCACTACCCATGGAAGAGCAGCTTGGCGCAGCTTCTCTTGAAGATGGCTGGAGGGACATCCGTTCAGCCATAGGTAGTACTGCTGCAGCGGCACTAGGTACTGCAATCCCGGACCGAAGAAATGACTGGTTTGACGGCGAATGCAAACTGTTACTAGAGGAGAAGAATGCAGCACGGGCGAGAAAGCTGTAACACCGCACGAGATTGAATGTGGAGCGATACAGACAAGCACAGAACAGACAAAACTCGGTTTTCCGAAGGAAGAAGCGTCAGCAGGAAGACCGAGATCGTGAGGCGATGGAAAATCTGTTCCGCGTAAACGACACACGGAAGTTCTACGAGAAGCTAAATAGTTCGCGCAAAGGCTACGTGCCGCAAGCCGATATGTGCAAGGACTTGGACGGTAACCTTCTCACGAACGAGTGTGAGATGATTGAGAGGTGGAAGCAGTACTATGACGAGCACCTCAACGGTGAAGCAGCAGAAAACGAAGGTGGCACGGCAACAGACCTTGGAGCACGCGCAGAAGACGACAGGCTACCGGCCCCTGACCTTCAAGAAGTTGAGGATGAGATCGGTCGGCTGAAGAACAACAAAGCAACTGGTGTAGATCAACTACCAAGTGAGCTATTGAAATACGGTGGTCAAGCACTGGCTAGAGCGCTGCACTGGGTAATTGCCAAGATTTGGGAGGAGGAGATATTACCGGAGGAGTGGATGGAAGGTGTCGTATGTCCAATCTACAAAAAGGGCGACAAGTTGGATTGCTGCAACTACCGCGCGATCACACTGCTGAGCGCCGCCTACAAGGTACCCTCCCAAATTCT